ATACTGAGCATCTTTCTCTTTGACACCATGTCTGATATCCCACGTGATCTGTCAAATACTAATGCATGAAAATCCTAACCTCAAAAAAATCACCCGATATAACACAAATAACGTCAACCAATGGTAACGCACCAGCTAAACAAGCCCATCGCAAACTCAACGGTATTACGAGTTCATTCACAGTAGAGCATTGGAACCGGTTTACTATTATGCCTTGCATCGCCACTGTTTTTTGTATATTTTTGTTCAAGGTTTGAGCCGTATTGATAAAGCGAAAATCAAAAGCCGGCTCCATCACCACTTATACTAATAAAAACCAAGCTAACATAGTTTGTATGCAAGTACACATGAATTTTAGTTACCCAGAAGCCTTACAATACTCCAACATTATGATTAGGTAGCGATATATTGCAGAAATTAAAAAGACAACAAATAAGTAATTATCAAGTTAAGCTAATGCAATATAATATGAGTCATTGTTTAAAACGGATAATACGAATTATATGTACATTTATGGTGTATTCTTGCAATCATTGATAATTATATTGTTATCAGTTGACTTTGTGTATGCATATTCAACAAATAAGATATTTACATATGTATATTTTTTTCGTTAAAAGTAAGGGAAAAATAACGTGAACAAAAGTCGTGCATTTACGTTCATTTTTATCTAAGGAGTTAAACTTATTTATAAAGTAAATTGGCTAGGGTAAAGAGAATATTATATTTTTAGAAAATCAATGTGGAATGTATTAGATGTTCAAGTTTTAGTAATTTTAATTACATTTATAAACGTGAAACACACGAAATGTTCTCTAAGTTGAGTTGAGTCATTGACTCCACGAAACTACATACTAATATCATAGATGTACTTATTTTCATTCCTATTAACTTGTTTGGGTCATATATTCTAAAGCAGTTCAGAAAGGGAGGTTCTTTACACAGCATTTAATTGAGTGCAAATATCGTCAAACTACAAGGTAAGTTAACGGTTGATTCATTAAAATTAAAAAATGTTTACAAATCAATATAAAAGAAAATCTAAGCTCTAAGAACCAATAACTTTTAGAACAAATTTAATTAGGGAATGCTAGTTTCAAAATGTGTGAAATTATTTTGTACATTTCGATAGGCTATACCTTATTAGATACTAACATTTTTAAATTAATATTTCAATTATTTTTCCAGTTATTACAGCTATAAATGGTTATATAGTCTTTGGCTGCAGGTTTATCTCGAAAACAAATCATGCGACCGTTTTGATTATTTCTATCTATTCTGTATGTGATTTTTCAATCGTCCTCCAGGTCTTTGATTATGTTATGAAAATAAAGTTCTGACGGACCAAATTTTTTTAGTAACTTGTTTGGTATAACTTCCTAATAATAGAATTTTTGTTGAAATTTTTTGTGTAACATATATTCATTAATTAAATATAGTCTTAAATTTTTAAAAGATTTCATGCAGTAGTTTTCTTAAAAAAAAAAAAATCTAAAAATCACTTTTTTCAGGCGGTCACACAAGATGTGCCTTTAACATTGTGTGTGTGTTGAGTGCGAATGTGCAAAGGGAATAATTGTAAATACCTATTGCATTAATACCATTATTAAAATGTTTATGATTATAAATTCTTGATAACAAATACAAAAATGCGTTTGCGGCTATAAGTTGCATTCTATAACATATGCATATGGGAACACACATATTTGCTTCTTTAATTATTTAAGCGATTAAGAACTGGAACACATCTTACATTTCTTTTGTATGTGATAACATATCTTGATTTGCATCAGATGCAAAATGTGTATATATTTTTAAAGTCTATATATAAAATTACAATATTTTTATTGGCAAATTATAACAAAATAATTTTAGAAATCAAGTGTTGGAGTATATAATACCTCTATGTGAAACATGATTATAAATGTGTGTTAAACATCACACACAATCATAACGTATGACTATGATGTGTTCCTATTTATACAGGTTCTTTTATCAATGCCAGTAAGTCTTTCGTGATGAGTAAATACATATTATATGTGTATGAATACAAAAAGAAACATATGCATGCAAAGATATACACAAATTTGTATTGAAGTATTCAGAGTGAGGTGGAGGCAGTAATATAATTGGGTAAGGGATGCACATTCTGCTCCCTAGCTTTGTGTTATTTGTGAGCACATTCAAACCAACATGCGCTGTGCAATTCAAAAAATGAACAGAGATAACAGTAAATAAATGCATACAGATTTGTTTATTGAGGGTGAACCGATTTGGAAAATCGATTGAAACCTAGCGCATTCTGACACTTTTTGACCGTAAAAATACCAACATAACATAGAAAACAGCTGTGATATTTAATACGCCCCCTTAATACGATTTTTGCGGTCTTCAAGCATTAAATTTGTAAAATTACACGTGTTCGAAATAATTTACTTACAGAAAGCGCCAACAATACCCAATAATCTTCCAGCATACTTCATGTACCACGGCGCATCTATGCCGCCCATTTGTTCTGCTTGATTCGGCCGCGCCAGCAATCCTGTGATTTTCTCCGCAAAGGACTGGATGTACAATTTTTTAACGCGACATGAAATAAAAATTAAAATGCATCTTTGATAGTGTCAACAAAATATTCAGAAAATATATGCGGGGAAAACATTGCCAAAGGAAATAAAAAGTTTTATCATTGCATCGACTTTTCCAATTGGACTAGTCGTCCGCTGTTTTCTTACTCGCATTTTTTATTTTATTACCATTTTGTTGGGTTTATATGTCAAACACTATCTGAAGGCTATTGAAATTTAACATACACTTCTATTTTAAATTACACTTATCGTAATTGCATACGATTACAATAAACTTTTTACCATCGATGAACAAAAATCTGTGTTTCTGCTGCCAACAGTCACAAAAGTAACGAGTTATTTGACACATCAAAAAAGAAGCAGCGAATAAAAATGACTGACAATAAATTAACGAGTGAAAGAATAGCCAAAAAACGAAGAGTGGTGCCGGCTTAAGTTTATATTTAACCATAACCAAAATAAAATAAATTGTTAAATTTCCATTTGTCCTGCATAGTTAAGGGAATTAAGCAGAAGAGCGGCTATCTATAAAAACGGCAATTTTTGTGATTTGTTCACAAATGAATTGAAATATGTAAAAAAAAGTACTCAAGACCGGGGGAACCAAAGATCCATTCTTCCTCATAATTGGTAGAATATAGTTCTCCAATTTAACGCTAAAGTTATTTTCTTTCAAAAAGTGTAAATTATAGTTCTAAACTAAATTCTTGGTGTTCGGTTCAAAATGAGAAAGTAGTAAAGAAGTAAGAAAAGACATCACTTATAATTTGATACTAATTTTATAATAGAGACGTGGAGTATAATTAAACGAATATGATGCAAAAATTAAAAACAGTTACCAAATGACTTATGCGTTAGTTACTGGGTTAACTATTCAGTTAGTGGGATGCCACTTACTAACAATAAAAAAGAAACCATAGATACGATAATCAGCTGATTTATTTCGTTCTTTGCTATATTTTTTTTTTTTTTAACTAAATTGTATATATTAAGCTATATTGGAAATATATATTTGAAAATGGAATTTAGGGAAATTTCTGCAAATGATGAAAGAATTTGTCGTTTATGCGGCGAAGAACAACACAATGTCATAGAACTCACTGAAAATAATAGTGAGGATATTAACTCATTAGTTAAACGCACTCTTGGCTTTTTGAATATAAAGGTAAAGTATGTATGTCTTTTATCATTTGTACTTTGCTATAATATACAAGAGTTCCTTGACGTGTTTAGTACAAAGAAAATGATTCCTTACCAAATTGTTTATGCGTCGCTTGTCACTTGGATGCTGAATCAACCGATAAATTTCTTCAAATGGTTAAGGAAGGACAGCGGAAACTGACGCAAAAGTTAAGAGAAGACCATGTGGCAGGCAAAAATACAGATGTTTCCCAATTGAAAAACAAGAATTTATGTGTGGTGAGCAAAGAAAAGAACCACGAAACAATTGAAGAAGAAAATTTTAACGACGGAGTTCGCACTACAGATGCAAGATTAGTAAACCCCATCTCTATTAGTAAATACGCTAAACGTGTAAGAAAAAAGAAAAAACGTTTTCCTTGTGACCCTTCTCCTTACATTGAAGTTGGACAAATCGATGTCGGTTTAGGTAAGAAGATTGATGTCAATTTAACGTATCACTAATTCTTTTTCTTCTCGCAATAGAAACAAATTCAGACAATTCGTCAGAGATAAACACTGGAACACTCATTACTATACAACCAATTGCTGAATTAAGATCTGCAAATGGGGCGTCTTTAGCAGAAATAATTTCAGTTGATTCAGATGTACCCATGCATCAGTCAACGCCATCTAAGCCAGATATACGTATGATATGTGAATACTGTAAAGAAGTATTCACAAAACAACATATATTTTTAAAACATTTACGGACCCATAATGAATCTATATATAAATGTTTGGAATGCACATCAAAGTTCGACAATTTAACTAATTTAACGAAACATCTCCAGCTTACTGGCCATAAAGAAACAACGCTTCTGAACAAAACTGACACTGAAAGCAATGAAAAACAGGCTCCAAAATCAGAGACTACCATTAATATAGTAGTAGATGATGAAGGTCACATCACTTCTATTGATTCCGATTTAAATGCAACTCCCAAGGAAAATGGGGAAACTGCTAATTCACCGTTGTATGTAGCCGAAAATATAGAGCAGGTACGATCAGTTTCGTCGCCAAAAACTAGCTCGTTTAAATGTTTGAAGTGCAACAAATCATATAAAACTCACTATTCGGTGTTACGTCATCACAAACAAGTCCACGTGGGCACCCGAGCGTACAAGTGTCAACACTGTACTGCCAGCTTTAAGGTAAACTAGAAACTCTCTTATCACCTCGCGTAATATTTTTATGTTGGATAACTACTTTGCAGAACACTACCAATTTGACTTACCATATGGCTAAACACACCGGTATACGAAACTTTAAATGCAATATATGTGCTAAGGCATTTGTACATAAAAGCGAGCTTACTTTGCACATGCGCACGCACACCGGTGACAAACCTTATGTCTGCAAGGTGAGTAAACAATTTTAGTAACTCTTTAATCGTGCAGCTCACCATTTCCATTATCCTTACTCATAGCACTGTTCCAAAGGCTTTTCGCATCGTTCCAATATGGTCACACACATGCGATTGCATTCTGGTCAATTACCGTTTAAATGCGAAACATGCAGTGCAAATTTCAACAGCAGTTCCCATTGGAAACTACACAAACAAATGCATCTAAAACACGCACAGCGTGCAGTTCTCGCACGTCTGCTGGACCAAAACGCGAAGATTGCTTTATCAAGCGATAAACATAAACTTACTGTAGATGCATCTTCAACACAGACTTACGACTCCGTCCAAAAATCAAATGCCACCACGTCCTTGCTTCGTTCAAAAGTTACAAACGTACAGTCTGTTGAGGTATTGCCACCTATCAAAACATTGCCCGGCCCTAATACCGTTATTAGTAAAGACAAATTGAAAAGGATCATCCTTAAAAATATACCCATGAACAGCAGCGCAGCCCCTGGGGCGACCCAACTTGGATTTAAATGCGATCAGTGTTTGCAGCGTTTCAAATTGAAGTCTGCTTTGACGAAGCATTTGCGCACACACACGGGAGAAAGGCCTTATAAGTGCCCATTTTGTCCGCGAACATTCGCGGATGCATCAAATTTTAAACGTCACAAGACGCTACACAAAACAGCCACGGAAGAGCTACAAAATGTCACCAAAAAATATAAGAGTTCTGATTTGTTGGATGAATTTCAGCGTGATAGAAGAAAAGCACTTCCTGTTGGAAGTGTCTCGCCAACCTATAGTGTAGCATCAGATCCAGATCCAGATGGTTTGGAGGCACTTCAACTAACAAGCGTACCTTCGCCAAAAAGTGTTTCTGATGCCAGTGACACTGTCTTTGATATGCTGCACAGCATTGCTGGCGAAACAAAGCGGGAGATATCAAGTAGTAACGACACTACCCATACTATAAGCGGGCTGAACACCTCGCATAGGGCTGCGATTCCCAAATCACCACAAAGACTAATTTGTATTTCTTATCCGAATCCTGCCAACCCTAGTGATAACAAAATGACAAGATTTTATGTGTAAATAAAAAGTCTTACAGTTTATACAAGTTACCTATAGTGCAAGAATTAAAGATGGACATAACATTTGATATCCAGTATCCAGAGATTGTGAGCGAGATAATGGAGGTGAGCTAGCCTTCACTTTGCACCACACTACAGTATCGTCTATCGGTCACAATATCGACCACAGGGCTCTTTCCCTAGAATGTCATGGCATAACTATCCTGTCAGACAATGTCGAGCTCGAAACATTTAATATATAAAGACATACAACTCACTACATGCTAGCCAACAGGATATCACCGGAACATAGGCGCGCTGCTTCGTTGATACTTGTCGACTTAAACGCGCACCGCAATATAACGAAGTCCCCTCCCGAACTATTGGCATCTGTAGCATCTCGCCTGATATAACAGTCGCTAGTGGTGGTGTGATAAACAGCATAACCTGTGCTAATTCACAGAGTTTACTTTTACCACACTACCCATTCCTAAGGACGTACCCGTTGACTAACGTCAATTAATTAACAATAGTTAAGCTGTTTTCCCCCGAGCGGGGTCTTGATAATCGCTATAGCAACAGAAATAAATTTTTGAATGATAACAATTATAATGTGTTATATATAATACATACATACAGTGGCAGACAAAAGCCTACATACAACCCCTGTTTTATTGCATATGAGAGTACAAAATCTTTTTAGGAAAATGTGTTGATACGTTTTATTCGTATCTATTTTCTAATAACAATAAACTTAAAAAATCCACTACTTAATATAAAACAACATATTTATGGAGGAAAAACTCAAAGATTATGTTGACAAAAGTGTACATACAGAAAAAAAATATCTTAGTTCATTGCGAAAACTTTACAAAATGGTAGTTATTAAGACGTTTTAGTATTTAGTTGGGCCCCCCGTTGGCATCTGCCTGAAGATGCCGTGGCATTGATTCTGCTACATTTGTCAACTCTGCAGACGTTGTGCTGTTCCAAGCTTATAAAATGCGCTCTTTGAGTATAGCAGAGCTAGAAATTTGGTGCTACTAATTTTACGATCCAAAATTTCCCAGACATGTTCAAGAAATATTTAAATGTGGAGGTGGAATGGGAGGATGGAGTCATGTGTAGAAGTTCACGCAAGTGAGGAAAGTTTTCTGATCGCCACTCACTTGGGAGTGGCCAGAAACGGTTCTTTTACATATGACTCAAGCAGCCCACGACTTCCGGTCCTTGACCAAGTATCCTCTGGGTAGCGTAAGAACATCCGTTTGAAGGTGAGAAGGCCAAACATTCCCTGCCATGGCAAACGAAATAAGGACTACGAATTGAGGGCATGCACCTGGAATGTCCGGTCCCTTTATTGGGAAGGTGCCGCTGCCCAGCTGGTTGATGTCCTCGTAAAAATAAAGGCTGACATCACCGCCGTCCATGAAATGCGATGGACGGGACAAGGGCAGAGACGAGTAGGTCCTTGTGGCATTTACTACAGTGGCCATATAGAGGAGTGCAAGTTTGGTGTGGGATTCGAGTTGGGAGAGAGACTCCATCGCTGAGTATTATCATTCACCCCGGTGAATGAACGTCTAGCCACAATCCGCATCAAAGCGAGGTTCTTCAACATATCGCTGATTTGCGCCCACGCCGCGACGGAAGAGAACGACGATGTGACCAAAGATGCCTTTTATGAGAGCTTGGAAATCACCTATGAGAGCTGCCGCCGCCACGACGTCAAAATCGTGCTTGGCGACTTTAACGCCAGGGTGGGCAAAGAAGGTATCTTTGGCACTACGGTCGGTAAATTCAGCCTCCACGAGGAAACATCCCCAAATGAAATGAAGACACGTCTCCAGTGTTTTAGATGTGCGTGCACTGCGGTCCTAACATCGACTCGGACCACTATATTATTGCAGCGAAGATTCGCACGCGCCTCTGTGCAGCAAAAAACGCACGCCATCAAACGCAAGGAAGGTTCAACGTCGAGAAGCTGCAATCACAACAGACAGCCGAAAAATTTTCTACTTGGCTTGCACTCCTGCTCTCTGAGAGCACTCGTCAACAACTCGGTATAAGGGAACTGTGGGACGGAATTTCAAACTCTTTACGTACAACCGCAACCGAAACCATTGGTTTTCGGAAAGTACAAAAGAACAGCTGGTACGACGAGGAGTGCCGTGTCGTAGCGGAGAGAAAACAGGCTGCCTACCTCGCAACGTTACCGAGAGTTGAAGAGGGAAGAGAGACGCATTTGCAGACAGAAAAAGAAAGAGGCCGAAATGCGTGAGTACGAAGAGATTGATAAGCTGGCCGATAGGGGTAATGCTCGAAAATTCTACGAAAAAATGCGGCGGCTTACAGAAGGTTTCCAGACCGGAGCATACTCTTCTAGAACCCCCAAAGGTGATCTAGTCACCGATGCCCAGAGCATACTTAAATTTTGGAGGGAACACTTCTCCAGCCTGTTGAATGGCAATGAACGCACAACGCCAGGAGAAGGCGAACCCGATTCCCCAATCGACGCCGATGGAGCAGACGTTCCATTGCCCGACCAGTTGAGTTGCCCGACGAAGAAGTTCGAATAGCAATTACCCGCCTGAAGAACAACAAAGCGGCGGGGGCCGATGGATTGCCGGCCGAGCTATTCAAACACGGCGGCGAAGAG